GAATGGGGATTTTGCAGTATCCTTCCCCTGAAGTAGGGAAGGAATGGGGATTTTGCAGTATCCTTTCCCTGCCATGCCCACCAAGCCACGCCCACAGAACTGGTAGTAAAAAAAATTGAATCCCACCACTGAAGCAAACCAACCAACCAAACTGTTTTCAAGAGTCCACGAAAGTTTAAATAGTAGGAGGTCAGCTGCTTAAGAAATTCACTCATTCTAGTTACGATGACTCTGAAGTCTGAGGAAAATGGTGTGCTCACATTTTTTCGTTAAAAACATTAAGTTTCTATAGAGGTTCTCAGTCATCCAGGTCATCATTGTCCCAGAGGTGCTATTTAAAAGAAGTACAGTACTCTTCTGCATATACGGGACCCCAATATACCACTAATAATGGGTGCAGAAGTTTGGGATTAAACACGATCTGGAAAGTCCCAGATCTTCATTTCCCTGTTTTGGTAGATTTGATACATAATATTGTTCCACATAAGGGACACTGTGGCTCAGTGACTAAAACACTGAGCTTGTCGACCAGAAAGGTCGGCAGTTCAGCGGTTTGAATCCCTAGCGCCGCATAACGGAGTGAGCTCCCGTTACTTGTCCCAGCTTCTGCCAACCTAGCAGTTCGAAAGCACGTAAAAATGCAAGTAGAAAAAAATAGGGACCACTTTTGGTGGGAAGGTAACAGCATTCCGTGAGCCTTCGGCATTGAGTCATGCCAGCCACATGACCACGGAGATATCTTTGGAGAGCGCTGGCTCTTTGGCTTTGCAACGGAGATGAGCACCGCCCCCTAGAGTCAGGAACAACTAGCACATATATGCGTGGGGAACCTGACCCTGGGATACATATGCAGATCAAAGAATAACTAAATGAACTGAACATTTCTGATAGAGTCCATTAAAGATTTTGATAAGGAAACTATAGAAGGATTCTTCTGTAGTTTTGATTGCGCAGCCTTGACAGCTCACAAAAGACTGTCGTTTAGGCAGTGGGATAGGCAACCTCCTGAAATCAAGGATGTTCCATCCATTGGAGGCTTCCAAGAAGAGATTGGACAGCCCTTGGTTTGGGATGATCTGAGGATTTCTTACAAGATCCCATCCATCCACACCAAGGGTTCTATGATCTTTCAAGGGCCAAAGGTCCTTCCCCAGTTTGAACCAAGAGGATTTGTCTGCATGGCGCCAATATTTCTCCACTGATCATGAGAACATTCTCAGAGGAGAGCATCTCATCACTTACAATAAATTCGTCGCCGACTTCTCCTTGGAGGACTGGTCCCAGGAGGCCCAAATGATCCGGTTTGGATGCCTTCCGCGTGTTGAAAGCCGCATCCTCGTATTCCACAAACATTGCTTTCTTATACTTGGACCCGATCCGTTGGGGGCCATTTTCCAGAGATTTGCTGTAAGTACTGCGGAAGAGGAGAGAAAGCCAGGGCTAGAACTCAAGAGAATATTAAATCGGTAATGGTTTAGTCAAATGCCTTTTTATAATTTATTTATAGCATCATTGAAATGTTAAAGTATTTAAATGAAACGTTTGGTATATTGCTTGGGTTGCTCCCAGACCATAATTTTCCAACTTGGTGTTTTCCATACTGCCATAACCTGATCCCTTCTCCTTAACCCGTCGTGTTAAATTAAAGAATTAGCACTTTTCACTTCTTTTTACAGCAGTAGCAAGCCTCTAGAGCAGGGGTGTCAAACTCAATTTCATTGAGGGCCACATTAGGTTTGTGTTTGACCTCAGGGATCTGGGGAAGGGGGCTGCCAGCGGCCAGTAGTGCTGGCAGCAGATTCGGACAGTGAGGAGGTTGGGGAGGAACATGGACCAGTCCTGGAGGCTGGGGAAGTCTCTGACAAGGGCTCTGTGTCAGAGGCAGAGAGGGGCCAGAGCCGTATGCCAGTTATCAGCTGCCTTCAGAGTCAGACATCAGTGAGGCAGATGAACAGCTGGAGCCTGTTCCCAGTGTGGGCATGCACAGAGTTGACAGACGAAGGGAACAGCTAAAGGACAGGGGTCGACTTGGGAGTAAGGCTACAGGTGGACGATGAATGGCCCCTCCCAGATGAAATAAAAGAGGAGCGAAATGGGAGTGGAGTTTGCAGGAGACAATTAGTTCGTTTAATTGGTTTGTGACTCTCCAAGACTCCCCGACATATCTTGCAGATATCAGCCTGGCAGTTCTCCAAGCCAGATAAGTTCTGTGACTGTAAATCCTTCCTTGAAAGACTTTGTGGATGTGAATGAGCAAAATTCACAGTAAATTAATAAAAGGGTTTTTATTTTTCAGGACAAGGAGTTTGCTTCATGCTTTCAGGAAGCCTCGGTCAGAAGAGGGGGCTGGGTGGGCAGGGTATGGGCAGAGTGGGCAGGGTCAGCTCGACGTCAGTCATGTCATCAAATGCCACTTTACCTAATAGTTTGTTTTGCTAGCACTCTGCCAGCAAAAATGGAGCTTGTGAGAGCCACACGCGGCCCTCCTGGGCTCCGTTTTCGGCTGCGATGGCCGCCTCCCACGCTCTGTTTTCTCTGGCAGAGGCACCGCAGGCCAGTCCTCTGTTTCTAGGGCAGCCCCACAGGCCAGATCTGGCCCACGGGCTTTGAGTTTGACACCCCTGTTCTAGTGTGTCTGATGTTTCTATCTCTGTCCTTTTGGACAGTTTTCTACGTGATCGAAGCCAATCCTTTGATGATTCCTCATCACCAAAGCTCCCTAGGCCTTCCTTATGGATTAATGGAATTTCTAGCAGACCCTATAACTATAGGGAAGGAAACAGGACTGTTGCAAAAGTCAACCCAAGAAAGGCAGATGTTGAGAAAGATTGATTCCACCTTAGTTTATCCTAGGTATAAGTAGATCTGCAGAATTACAATCGTCCTTTGAAGAGTCTGTACTTCACTATCGATAAAAGTCTTTCTTGTTATTGAGTTTGCCCTTCATGAAAGGCTTGATCCAAACATCATAATGGCTTGAGGTGATTTACCTGTCCAGGTGAGTGGGCTTCACTGGGGCATAGTCCCAATCACCTTCCTCTGCAGCAATATAATGCATCCAGGTCACAGGTAATCTTTTGGCCCGAGAACGTCCAGCAATCCTTGGTGAAAACTCATCCAAGTCTACCACCGTGCTTTCCAAATCGTCTCCCTCATATTCATCATAATAGTCCTCGTTTGGAGACGGTTCTACCATCCTCAGCTTCTTTTGAATAGGTTCTGGACAAACTTCCACTTGAATTAAGGCTTCCATGCCAGCTGAAAGCCAATGGTAAACAAGATGTTAGCCAGGTTTCACTTTCTCTTTGTTGGAAGCAAGTTTTAGAGCTTGCTAAGTCAGTCAATCTGCAATTCAGGTCTGGTGTCTATTACTTCCAAATTGCATGTTTATCAAATGTTCCTTTTCCCTATGACATGATCTGGCATGATATATTTTTTAAATATATGCTAGTTGATAACCCGGCATTGCCCGGGTATTTATTTATAGGGGGACAATGTCCGGACCAAACGTAATTTCTAATGTTGGATTTTCCCCGTTACCCGAGGGAGCCCCCTTGTGGAGTACTGTGAAGCCATTACCATGGCAACCCCACTGCAATGTACATTAGAAGCCATTCTATGGCAGTATGGTAGAAACCATTTTAAGGCACAACAGACTGTATCTTAACAGAATACAAACCCTAAGGGGTATTAGGGCTGTCTTACCCACACAGTATTTTTCTCCAGAGAGTAAGTCATCTGTGTATCATATTTGGTTGAAATTGCTTGAGGCGTTCCAGAGTTATGTTGGAACATACACACATGCAGCCATTTTTATAGATAGATAGATAGATAGATAGATAGATAGATAGATAGATAGATAGATGGATGGATGGATGGATGGATG